ACATAATGGAGAAGAGTAGTGGGAGTTATATTTGATTAGTGGACATCCATATAAATATGCATTTCATAACACTCCCCCTTGGATGTCCATAGATAATGTGCCTCGTTAAAACCTTATTAAGAAAAAACCATGGAGGAAAAAATCTTGGTGAAGGAAAAAGAGTACACATATCTTGTAATACGCATTACTTGCCGCCTCATTAAAAACCTTGCCAGGAAAACCCAGTGGGATAAAACCTTAGCTAAGGGAAAAAGAGTACAACGCGTATTTGCCTCCCCCTGATGAAAATATCAATTTATTTCTCGGAGATGCCGAATTCCAAGCTTGTATAACAACTTCTCTAATATTGAGATCGGCAATTCCTTCGTGAATTATTTCGCCAAATTATCACTTGAAGGAATTTCTTGAACATCTATTTCATTATTCTATTGAAGATCGTCTCTGCAAAGAAACTTTGGCTAAATGTGCTTTATTTTGTCTTCTTCAATATATCGTTATTTTAATTGAGCTATGCAAGCATCATCGTATTCAATATTATTGGAATCGTCTCTCCAAAGAAAAGTCACACGTCCTCACATGCATTTGTATAACCAACAAAACCTTGACAATATTTGTTAGAATAAACAAATCTATATCAATGATTCCTTTTGCAATATAATATTAATCATATTTCAATATCTCCATATAGCCATTATACTTTCAGTTGTTGGGACTATTCGTCCAACTTCATATTTTTCTGATGAAAACAATTTTCATTGCATATTTTTCATTTGGCCAATCATTTATCTATCCAAATTCCATGACAGATTTGAGCTCAACATCCTCGTCAATATTAATAATATTGGGCGCTACATTATATAAACAATATCGTCAATGATCATTTTACATCGGTTCTGTCATTACCCACTAAAGACATAACTTATTGAGATATCTTTATCTCATTATTTTCAGGTACCTGAGCCTCTCCCATGAGGTCTTATAAAGTGTTATGTCATGGTGCTCTTATAAAGCACTTGCCTCCTTATTGTGACCATCTTGAACATTTGCTCCTCTCCTTCTTCAAGGAGTTTTATCTTTGGAACCGATTAGTCTATTACGCTTCATGCGTGTCATAAACTCTGTCCATCATGGACTTTATTCTATTTTGGTGCATTAACAGCTGAAATATTACATTTAGCCTTGGGTCAGCAAATGCTCCTGGCAATATTTTAGAAATGAATTATCACTTGAACTTCAAGTTCACATAAGTTCACATTTTCTTGTACGAGGATCTAGATGTATTCATATTAATTCATTCCACGTATCACTGTTTCAGCTGCCTATTTTCTCCCCCTAATGTTAGGATCACCAACACATTTCTCAACCTTATTTGGGAACCCATCTTTGTGCATTGTGGTGTCACAATTAAATCATATAGCACATCTATATTTCAAGATGGAAATTATTTGGTTCCTGACCCTGAACCAATTGTGACGGGGAGAATTTATCATAACTTGGCTAGATGCGTACAAGTGCTGCTCTATATTAAATAATACATCTCATACCAAATTTCCTTTTTGTAATTTTGTTCTCATAACCAATGGTTTAGCTATAATTGGAGGCATACAATATCTGCTAAACCAACTTAGATTTAAACCAGCATTATCAAGATAAATTTATATTCTGGACTCTGCTCTAATAATTTGAGCAATCAATCTTGCAAAATCCAAACTGCAAGTTGACAACAAACGCACATATGACCATACAATAGATGCATCTATTAAAATCATATAATAGTAAACGGTCCACATGGCAGGTGACTGGACACACACACACACACACACACACACATATATACATATATATATATATATATATATATATATCACCTTTTATTCGTTCCAGATCTTAAGGGATTCAATCCCAACCTTAACTGGTATATCATGAGAATAAGCAGCACAAGAGAATTCTTGAAGAATCTTCTATTTCTTCAATATATGCCAATGTGAATTCTCAATTAATTTCTGCATCATAATTGAACCGGGATGGCCAACCCGTTCATGCCAACTAATATTTGTTTCAGTAAACCTCTAGTTTACTCGTGGCATGCGATTCCACCATCATGCTTATACTTGTGTAGTACAAATAAAAGAAAAATCGGGTAACCTTTTATATTTACCCGGTATGATTATAGTAATATGAAGATATTCAATCTTCCTTTCATTTATAGTCTCAATATGCCAACTATTTTGGCTAATATATTTGAAACTTAAAAATTCCATTTGAGACTTACTACAATATCAATGTCATGAACAATTTCATTCATCCGGGTAGTAATAAATTAGCTCTTCCGGAGCTCTTAATTGATTTTGTACTACAAGATCTTTTGTCACACCATCCATATGGTGAATGTCTCCTTCACGGAGAAAATCATATCATAATAATTGTCATGGTCAAAATCATCATAAGCAAAATTATTTCTTGCTTTACTTTTGCCTTTAATAACTTTTTATAAGACATGTCAAATTATTTTTGGCGTACCACATGTACGCGACCAATGACATATTCATGTAATCACACAGTAATATTCATTATTTCTCTTTCTCTCAAACCTCCCTTAGAGGTGAGTTGTGGTGTGTATCCAATCATGCATTGCACGTCTTTATTCATTACTTTTATCACATATTGTTTCATTCACCTTCAGGAATGAATCTGCATTCTCAATGCACAAGTCACATTCTCTTCAAAGAATGGAGTATAATTATCGCGACGTGCTTTATAAATTTTTCATACCAATTTGATGGTAAATATTTCCTTCACCTATTGAAGGATTACTTCGAGAACCCTTATTGTTCTCATTTTTACAATTACCATAATGATGACTATTATTATTTGATCAATGGCACGCCCATGTTCATTGGTCAACCGCTTGTCTTCATTTACTTATTATGCATTGCTACCACATTCGCTTCAAGAATGGTGCAAATCAAGTAGGGACAAGATTCATGCTTTTCCATGAAAAATATATTATTTTTCTTTAGTCATCACTATGTCATCCATATGGTGCATTGGAACTCAAACCCAATGCCTGACCCATGTAAAGACATGTTAGGCCATAATGAGTTGGGACTCGAACCCAACTTTTACAATCATGAATCATCAGGACTCAAAACCCGATGTCTTACCCTCATGGTGCGTTGGGACTTGAACCCACCGTCTTATCCTTAATTAATGGCATAATATGCCAAAGTAGACTCACCCTTGAGACTTTCATGGTATACTACTTTTAATAGTAATAAAAGTAAACTCATATATGTGTTACACAATAAGTTTCTATTTACTGGTAACAAAGAAATCAAAGTTCTTCAAATCACTTTGCAAAAGCTGGCGTAGCTCCTTAATTTATGTACATCTTTGGTCTCTGGTTTAGTATGTAACATTTAGCTGCATCATTATATGCTTCTGATTCTCATATAACATCTAACTTGAACATTAGGTGAAAGATATTAGACTAAACTTACAATAAATATTAGAAAGAAAAACATGGAGTAGAAATTAATTTACATCTAAGTATTTTCAACTTTACAAAGTAATACTTAGTATTGGAAACTTTTCCGACAAATAAAGAACCTTTGAGAAAAACTAACAAGAAAATGAATTATTAAAAAAAATAAATTAGAAAACGTATCTTAGCATTATATGCCTTTTCACGATGTACTAGTCTCCTCAACCTTGTTATTCCTTTTATTATATTTCATACCATTATTTGAAATTGCTAAATGGAAAAGAAAAACTCATCTCTTCCAGAGGAATATCAGGCACAGCAGACATATGCTTTTTCTGATGTAAGACAATTTTGTAGATGTAGTAACTCAATTGGATAGAGACTCGTGCTGATAACGTGTTACGGAACTTAGCTCAAAGTAACAATATAGAATAATAAAGTAGACAACAATGTAGAGAGGAAGAGAGGAGAGAATCTTATTTCTTCTATGTATTCAAGTGTCTTACAAAATGAGTTCTCATCCTCTATTTATAGTACAACATAGAGGTACCAAAAGAATTCCATAAGTATGCCATTAAACATGGGTAGGTTATGTAGGTTATCTACGTAATGGAGAAGAGTAGTGGAGTTTAGGGGTGTTCACGGTTTGACGGAAAACCGAACCAAACCGATTAAGTAAACCGATATTTTTTTTGATTTGGATTGGTTTTGGTTTTAAATTTTAAAAACCGATAATATTTGGTTTGGTTTTGGTTCTATTTTAAAAAACCGAAAAATAAACCGAACCAAACCGATTAAGTATATACAAAATTTAATAATTATTTATATACAATATAATATCTTTTTGTTAATAATTTTAATTGTTATTTTGAATTTTGGTTTATCCTGTTATATTTTAAAAGATTGTCTAAGCCCAAAACAATAGGATTCGACCAATTTTCTTTTCATTAATAGACTCTAATTCTCTAATCCTCCGCACATACTTTTGCCTAAAAGAAGAGTTAAAAAAATCACCACAAGAGTAAAGAAAGCACATTCAAATTGCAAGACAACAATGGCTAAAGCTTGAGAAAGCAAATTTTTAGTTTGTTTTTTGTTCATTCTTTTCATATAAACATGTAAATAAACTTTCAGTTCTCAAAGAAATATATAAAAAGCATAAATTTGGCAAATTATTTTCAGATTGTTGTCTAGTGTTGTTTTAATATTATCGACTTATCATTAGCTTACTAAGAACCGAAAAACCGAACCAAACCGAACCAAACCAACAACAATATAACCGATGGTTTGTATTTAATTTGGTTTGGTTTTGGTTTTAAAATTTTAAAACCCGATTAAATTGGTTTGGTTTTGGTTTTAATCAAAAACCGACTAGACGAACCGTAAACACCCCTAGTGAAGTTATATTTGATTAGTGGACATCCATATAAATATGTATTTCATAACAAAAAGTTATTTGCTATACATTGTTTAAGTATGTAAATTGAAAAAATCATTCTGTCATCATATATTTATATTAAATGATTATCCGCCAATGCAATTCTTGCCTATAGTCCCACGAAGTGGTTTCTGCCGGTTGCCCGCGGCGGCGCCTCGTTAAATTTCAAGGTCATGAATTAAGACCAATTTTAGGACAATTTGGTCCTTTGGAGCTTTCCTACTCCACATAAAAATTCGGTATCTAATTTGACGATTCCTCAAATTTGGCTCTGGAAATTTTTGTAAGCTCCACCTGGTGACTGTTCAGCCTTGACCTAGTAAACCTAGTTGCAGGTTCGTCATTTTAATTGAAAGTTTGTTTTCATATCCATCTTTGAGCTTTAACTTGTAAATCAATGTTTAATTATATAATTATTCTCAAATGGATTAATCAGGGTGAGCATAGTTTGGTAAAAATATCATTTTCCGGTGGTTCCTCTCCGTCGACCAGCTGGCGTTGATTTTGGCCGCCTTTATTCCGTCAATTGAGATCTAATTCAGCTCCGTCAAAGATCTCTTGCTTTCAAACCAGCCTTTGCAAAGTCGACAAAGCAAAGGTTATTTCATCATATAAGTGTACGTTTTTTTCTGAATGACCTTATCGGTTAGAGAAATTCATGGTTTTTTAGTTTCTGCTATTTTGATTCTAGTGTAAATCATAATTAGGGACAAAAATGGAAAGAACTATAGATATTATCTCATGTTAGATGATGCTTATTTTTTTTCTCTTTGATTTAATGATGATTTTAATAGAGCCATATATTGAATTTCATCAATTAAATTGTTACCTACTTTATTAGGTATCTGCTATCTTCTCTCAGTAGTTCTATACACGAGGTTAGACTGTCCTCTATGCTAGGATTGGAGCCTTGGTCTCCAACTATTTGACCAGTAGGGAACCCTGTTTTGAGCATCAATTCAATTGTTTCTTTTTCTCCATAGTCCAACAAAGACTTTTTGCTTTCTTTCAGTTAGAATGTTCATTTTGGTTATTTGGTAACCGGTGATTTCTGAGGAGAAGTTTTAAAGTTTTAACTGACTGTGTCTGAAGAATGTCTCTCAGTTTAACAGTTGATGTGGTCTACCTGGATATCCATTCAGAGGATTAATCATTACTAAACATGTTTTATATTGGCAACTTACTGCATCCCTCCTATTCCAGGCTTATGTAGTATAAATAGCCTAAGGAGACGATCTATGGAATTTGGAAGCATGCATGGATACACAGATAAGTTATACTTAATAGCTAATGCTAGATCACAGAAGTTCTTTGCTAATGGCCTAGCTTTGGAAAATTTAGGGGTTTATGCATCTATATGATTCATTTCTTAGTCCTTAGTGGTTTTATTGATATGGTGCTGTATAATTAACCATGTGGTTTATGCATCTATATGATTCATTTCTTAGTCCTTAGTGGTTTTATTGATATGGTGCTGTATAATTAACCATGTGGTAGTAATAAATGGGAGTTAACTTGACTAACCTCAAGGGAAAGGGTGAAGAACACTTCAATAGATGAGGAACCTTTATTTGTGAACTGAAGATTTAAATATGATATTCCGTTGTACCTTATAAAAAAAATGATATTCCATTGTCAAGGCTTAGTGCATTGATCTGACATCTAGAATTGAGTTGCTTTTTAATTAACTTCCACATCCACTTGAGCCGAGGGTCTCTTGGCAACAACCTCTTTATCTGACAAGGTAGGCTTAAGGTCTGCGTACACATTACCCTCCCAGACCCCACATGTGGGAATATACTGGGTATGTTGTTGTTGTTGTAATTCTTTTCAAAAAATTATTTGTAAGATTAGAAATGGGAATGCTTAAATGGGAGTACATTGTTTGCTTGTTTTTCCTCTACATCAGTGCCATGCTCCTCCCTCTCCGTGAACAGCAGATAGATAATGTCACTCTATAATTATAGAAGTGATGGTGTTTCACATGTGCATTGATGGTTAGCTATGAGTGGTCGTTATCTTATTTTTCTTTTGCCAATTTTTGAAGCAGTATAGCATAGAAGTAGAAATCTAGTGACTTCCAACAGCTCAGCATGCCGAAAGATAGAAGGGTGAATTCCTCATCCTTAAACGGGGCAAGGGCATCTCCTTATGCTTGTAGCTCAAAGAATACTGAGCAAGAGTTAAAGAGTTCCTTGCCACCAGTAGGGAATGAAAGAGAATGGAAAGAAGCTAGGTGCCCTATTTGTATGGAGCATCCGCACAATTGTGTCCTTCTACTTTGTTCATCACGGGATAAGGGTTGTCTGCCTTACATGTGTGACACAAGTTACCGTCATTCAAATTGTCTAGATCAATTTTGTAAATTATCATCTGGAACACAATCAGAAGCTCAACCAGAGGGAAGTACTATATCAGGGACCATATTCCACAGGGCAAGTCAGGGACAACCTTTGTCAAGAACAACCTGGTCTACTGGGGGACAGCAACCAGAGCTTGTCTGCCCACTTTGCCGGGGACAGATTAAAGGATGGATTGTTGTAGAGGCTGCTCGTAAATTCATGAATTCCAAACAGAGGAGTTGTTCCTTGGAGACGTGCAATTTCAATGGCAATTATGGCGAACTAAGAAAGCATGCCAGGCTTCAGCATCCCTCTGACAGGCCCGCCAAGGCTGACCCTCAACGGCAGTATGATTGGAGAAGGTTGGAGCTTCAAAGAGACTTTGGGGATACTCTCAGTGCATATCAGACTCCATTTGGTGATGACTTTGCTGGAGATGACCTCCTAACTGAGCTGCCTCTTGATGGTGGTTTATTTGATCTCCTAGATGGGTACACCGAGGCCGAGGATGGATTGAGTGAAGATGGCAACTTGTTACTGGATCTTGAATTTGAGCTCCCCTTTTCTTTCCTGAACGACTTTCCATTTTTGCCTTTGACAGTGGATGAGTTTTCTGAGTTTGATAGTGGGAGGAGCCCTACTCGATCACGGACTAGTGCTAGATCCGATAACAGGAGAGATTGGAGGTCAACTTCGTCAGATAATCAGGAGGAAAGACCAGCAACTACAAGAGACACAAATAGGTCATCAAGGCGCATGCCTAGCTCCTTCTTCAGGCATTAAACTAATGAATCAATGCTTGGTTCTAATTGTATTGCATAGCTTTGCGTCTCAGGTTGAAGTTCTTCGGTTTTCTGGTTTATCTTCGTTACTGAATGAAGGAATTTCCACTCAATTCTGTTATTTGTATTTTCAACTGAACAGTGTCGTCGTTCATTTTCTTCATTTCTTTTCCTTCTGACTTTGCTGCTTTAAAGAACACGAATAGTCTACTCACGAAATTATTATCAGTTCTGTTTACTAGCTGAATTTATGAAATATGAAGTGTTTTCTCCAGATAAAAAGAAAAAATAAAGTGACTTCTCCAGATAAAATTAAAAAAGAGAGACTTAAATACTGATTGACAGTTTAACTTGTGCATCTTTGCAACGTCAAGCTCTTAACTTAGACCAGCTAAAACTCTTCACATAATTTTTTATGTTGGCAAAACTCATTTATGTTTCCACAAGTCTTTTCTGAGAGCAAAACGTGTCACGTTTAGATTCACTAGTTATTACTCCCTCCGATCCCCTAACTCCTAGAAAAAAATAGGTATTTTACTAAATTATCCGTAAACAAAATTTGCATATTGTTAGCCTGACACATCGGGATATCTAAATAAGAAAAATTTTGGAAAAACAAAATAATTCCTTCTTGATTATATAAAAGATCACTTATTTTGGACCAAAATAAAAAAAAAACAAAAAAATTAACTTATTATGCATCGGAGAGAGTACTTGCACCGTAGAGATATTTAAAGTTATTCCATAAAAATGCTTGTAACCATCAACTTTCGAACTAACTCGCATAAAAAAAACAAAAACAAAAAAGAACGACGAAACAGTACATATTCTGTAGTATGTCAAATTTTGCAGATTATCACATTGTAACTTATAAACAAAGTAGTTTGAATTAGAGAATATTTTTCTATGGCATAAAGAAGTCAAAGGATTTGTTTTGTATTTACCTTGTTTTTCTCCTCCTTCCCTTTCCTTCTTAAAAATATAAATATACCCAAATTAATTTGCTTAGTTTTTCTTTTGGAAATAAAATTTAGAGAGTGGAACACTTCAATAATTTATTTTTATTTTTTTTTTTAAAAAAAAAAAAAAAGAGAGTGGAACACTTCAAGGGTAGAATTGGTAATACATGTTTTTTCGGCCCTTGTCACCCTCTCGTCGAAATACTTACAAGTTACAATAAAAAACTGAAGAGGGGTTTAGAAGTACAAAAGTAAGAAGCCTAACCCCAGTTAACTGTAATCTTCTCTTCTTCGACTGGTAATTTTTCCCGTCTATTCGTATTCGCACTTCTCTATTTTGTTATCATTTCCTTGTCTGATTTCTAAAGGCGCCAGTGGTCAGTAGCAATTGCTTCATGTTTTTTTTCCTTCCAATTTTTTGTTTCAATTTTGAATGCTCTCTTAGATTCTTTCTGAACTGTGAATTGGCTTTATTGGCTGAAAATCAAAATCCGACCTTTTTATTGTTTGCTGAAGTGGGTATGTGAATTTGGCTCACTTTCCTCTGCTTATAGGTGTTCGACGAATTGCCTCTACGAATTTGGTGTTGATATAATATTGTATTTCTACCCAAATTTGAAATTAAAGCATTTTTCTAGATTAAAGAATCTCGGATCAGATATTACATTGAACTTTTTGTTATGCTTTAATATGATTCTTGGGCCCTAGAGATGGGATGTCTTTGATAATACCATTTTTATAGTATTAGTCTTTGCAAATACAAAAATGCCTCAATCCTGTGGACCCTATTCATACCAGTACTATTTTAAATTAGTCTCTAGCTGAACAAAATTTGGATAGTTTAGCTTTCATTGGTCTCATGAGGCGGTAGTATGCATTGTACTTCAGGTTTTTCACTAGGTTTTTGAGCGTGTGAAGCACTAAGAACTGATTTGTAATTTTTCTTATTTCATATTCTGCAGCTGAAAGAGTTTGAGCAAGCTTTGGTTCTGATATTATGGCGAGATCATTATCTCAAATGCTGTTGAAGCGTTTTGCATCCTATCCTCTTGCTCGTTCATCTGCTATTGTGAGAATAGATGCTACTATCTTCCTTCTCTCGCTTACTGTTAACAATGTGTCAACTAAAGCCTTTTTTCTATTGATTTGTCTGACATGCAAAATTGAAATTTGAGCTTAATATGTGGAGTTCCTTACCTTTTCTCTTTCGTCTTAACTTTGTGCACCCCATTGCTCTGTGCTCCATAGACACTTTCGTTTATCTCTTACTAGCTGAATACAATCTGGGGTACATGTTGCATCTGTAAAGTTTCTATTATAAACTATAAACTTTTGCTAGAGTCCCTTATCACCCAAAAAGAAAAATATTTGCTTGAATCCCAGCTGCTAGATGTTGCCATCGGGCATTTACTCATGAAATTTTGGGGCATATGCTCGATTTCGATACTAAAGAGTTTAGCCTGTAGACGGGATAAGACAAAAGTGGATTTTTTTTCAGGCTCTTTCTTATATATCTGGTTTTAAAGTATTATTCTTAACAGTTGTTCCATTTGTGTAATAGACATCCAGATCTATCAATCAGGGTGAAATTTGGTATTCAAGTACTGTGCCTAGTGATCCTGACACTCATGAAGATTTTAGACCTACTAGTAAGCTTGGGAGTTCAGGTCTTTCCCTAGAGAACATTGTTGAGCAGGTATTTTTCTCACTATCTGTACATTTTCTGCTTGTTGGCTAGTAAAAGCTCTGTTGTATTCAATCTTTGAATATAGAGATGGTGTTACCCTTTTGGCTTATAAGCTGTTCTTTTAAGTTTTTAGATTTAGTTATTCTGTCATCCTTCTACTGTAGGATGTCAAGGAAAATCCTGTGATGATATACATGAAAGGTGTGCCAGAGCTTCCTCGATGTGGATTCAGCTCATTGGCTGTCAGAGTGCTAAAAGAATATAGTAAGTCCAAGCAGTCTCTGAAGGGGGAATGCTCTTCTGGTTTTGTTGTCTCTTTTTGTATCTTATTGACTTGCAAGGCATACGTTTGTGGTAGAGGTCCATGCCTTACAAAGTATTCATCTTCTTACCTATTGATGTGGTCTTTGCAGGCGTTCCTATAAGTGCCAGAAATATCTTAGAAGATCCTGAGCTTAAGAATGCTGTAAAAGCCTTCAGTTACGTTTGACGCTAGATGGTCTACGGTTGTGAAATTTGTATATTGATGAATTTGTAATTGCAATTTTTTTCAAGGGATGGATACCAATCTACATGTTAGGTGGCTATCTTTCTTCCTCTTCTGTGATCTGGTGTAATATCGTTTAACAGTGACGCACATCCTTGTGAGAAACTCTGCTGAGCTGGGATATCAGCTACCATGTTATATCGTAGTAAACTCTGTAAATGAGATTAATAGTTTGTCCATAAGGTCAGATGACTTTTGATGACCTCCCCTGATGGAGGTTTGTGGTTGAGGCAGCTCATGTTTTTTCTTGTGACAAAATGAAGATACAATTGATTCTTTTAGCTGGGGAGTGCCAACATTTACATAATCTTGGGGATGACTCTGTGCCTCTATAGTTACTTGAGACATATGTAGGTTGTATATCTACATTCAGTAGCTTTAACATGTGTCTTTTTATATAGTGTACTTTAAAGAGCACCAAGTGGGTGCTACAAAGCTTTACAAGTAGTATATCTCTATAGAGCTCAAAAGATCAACACAATCCTTTGTACTATAGAACATCATTTTGATTACACCAAAACAAAAATCTTGTACATCTATTTTTCAAGCTATGTGCTGTCTCTATCACCTTCCCGGACCACCTCTATTACTTTCTTTCTGTAGCATCTATTATGTGCATAAAGGATTCCTAACATTACCATGATATGTGGAGCCTCTTAGATGAACAGTGTCACGTGTTCTTGATTCTTTTTCTGGACTTTATTTTCTGTGACATGTTTAACAAGGCTGCAATATAGTTCATGGCTTCATGCATAAGAATGGAATTATCCTTTGAATTGGGATAGTGATATTTCACAGAGAAGTTTCTTGTTCATGCTTACATGTTCATTCTTTCATCTTCAAAGAACCTAGACTTTAAGGCTGCTGATATGGAAAAGGAGCCCTCTCAATTACTTATTGTTTCCTTTAGTTTTCCCTTGGTAATTACTTGCATGATGACAAACCAAATTAAGTTGTAAATGGAGCTCTTTGAACTTATGATAATCAGCTGTAATCATCAGTTCTCTTCATCTGAGTTCTGACTTCTTCTAAGTTCTTCTCTTAGTTGGTCAAAGTGATGCATGTGTATTAGGACTTGAATTTGAAAAGTAGGAATATCTAGCCTCTATCTTGAGGAGATGTATCTGTTAAATCAATTTTAAACTAGTAATTTTGCAGAGTATTGTTTATGCAATGATTGTGAGGTTAATAGATTGTGAGATCTGTATTTAATCCAAAGTAGTTGCGCTAAGACAAGTGGTTACACTTCAGAAGGTGCAACTTATCTAGATGCTTGCTCAAGAACTCATAATCTCTGTAAATATTGCAGCCACTGGCCCACATTTCCACAAATCTTCATCAACGGGGAGTTTATTGGTGGATCGGATATCATCCTGAATATGCACCAGGTAATTTCACTTGTTTATGTGAATCTAGTTAGGCTGAGTAAAAGAAACATGTTCAATAATTTTTTGCATGCAGAGCGGTGAACTCAAGGAAAAGCTGAAAACTATCGCGGCCAGCCAGGGGAAAGCAGAATGAGATATATTACTGCATAGAATAGAATAGTTTTACCTATGTGTGAACTGTTGTAATACTTCAAGCGCTAAGTTTGTATTCTTTTGGCTTGGGAGCTGTAATAAAATATGCACTTGATTCCATTTGTCATATTTTTGTGGAAACGATGAAGAATATACATTCTTCACACTTTTGTCTCTGCTTGTTTAAATTGTTCCAGTTAAATGTTTTTTGCTTGAAAGTAGTATTCCTATAACTTGCAAAAGTTGGAGCTTACACCAAACTTTGCAAACTCACTAGAAATGGACGATGAAATTGCTTTAGTTTACCAGAGAGAATGGCTTGAGAATTGTGGATGAGACTACTGGGATTTAGAAAATCATTATAGATGATGCTTTTAGCTAAACATGTGTGTGTCTCTATAAGGTTGTGATTTGCATGCTTGCTTGGAGTCGAGGGTCTACCGGAAACAACCTCTCTATTTGCATAAGGTTGGGGTAAGGCTGCGTACATAATACTCTCCCAAGACCCCCTATTTGTGGGATACACTGGGTTTGTTGTTGGTGTGTGTGTGTGAGAGAGAGAGAGAGAGAGAGAGAGAGAGAATACACAATAGGCATAATATCCATTAATATTGATACATCATGGTACAATGACTCCAAAATTATGAGAGGAATTGGAAAAAAGAATATCCAGGTGGTGTCTACAAGTGATGAAAAAAGAAACACATCCAAAACTTTATTTTGCAGCACATTATCGAGTCAAAACTGGAAGTCTAAGGTCCTAGAATTCACCAAACGCATATAATTAACTACATAAAAACTGTGTGTACTCCCATATTATTGCTTCTTCATGCATTTTCCCTCACTCACTCAATACTTCAATCATGAAACTCTTGACTGCGTTTATCATCGGCAACCCTCAAGTTCAAGTCTTGCACTTAACCAATTACAGACCTCATCCATTTCCTTTGGCACTGTGTAATGACCAAGCCTGCAGAAAAAGATGGTAATTTAAGAAAACATTACTTCCCTTAAACCATGAGTACTACAGTTTTGCAAAGAAAGAAAAAGGAAAATGAAGGATACCCATCATATTTTTTGAATGCAAGATTCCGGTATCCAGCTGAGCTCAAGACATGAGTAGACCTCTCTCCATATATGTAAGGGACTACTTCATCGCCTATAAATAACAAACAGAAGGGTCTTAATGGTTATGCAGATCCTGCAAACTTCAGTACGTTACTAATAGTCTAGAGTTTGTGCGCAGTAAACACAAGAGCCCCTCCTTGGAACAAGGTCAAGATAATTCACAAGAGAAGTTCAAGAAGCACATTAGTACCGAGTAGGTAAATAAGCAGAATGAACTAAGAATTGAAAAAATAAGCCTAATCGTACTAGTCCGGTTTACTGCTCCAGAATTTTGTTATATTCTTCAAAACAGTACTGTATACTCTCATATAATAGCAATTTAGCATCTTTCCTCATAATTTTTGTTCATGTGTGGTTGTGGAGTAATAAAAAGGTTGAGGTACATTTTGACAACTCTGTATTTCAGATCAGAGGTAAGGACTAAGGACCCTTGAGGACTCAGACGGATACACCATGCGCTGAAACAGCTAAAAGGTTATAAAACAAATGTTTGCAAGGTACATACACATTCCATGACAGAGTAGAATAGGTAAAGATGCAGCACGTCTTGCAGCCTCAAGTGATCCTTCAATCTTGTTCCTCACGTTCCTGCACAATTCTAGTCGTTAACTCCTATGTATATTTGTTGTCTAAGAAGAAGTATAGATTAAAAAAAAACTCAAAAATAACCATATAAGTAATCTTTTTTTAACTTTTTCAGTACCTGCCTTTTGATAGCTTTTCAATAACAGAAGCTTTAGAGAACTAGGAAGCTAATATGTAAGACTAATATCTTGCACAATTCAACGACATAATTTGTCCAAAAATTTAGTGAAGATTGTATTATTTCTCAGATATGATATGCAATCACACCTTGAACCTGGAAGCCAGCCGCTTAGACCTATGATAGCCTTTAAGATGACCGGATAAGGGTTTCCATTTCCATATTTTCCTTGTGCAAAGCAAGTTGCCGAGTAGAGTGCAGTGGCTGCACCCATGCTGAAGCCTCCAATTCCAAGTTTAACTGTACCACATAGTTTTAAATTTGTTAATCAAATGTATAACACAGACCTAACAGAATAACACTAAAGAAAGACCAATCAACTAGACATAAATCTTAATCTAGTTGAGGTTAACCCCCATATCGATTCCACTCTATGTGGCCCATTTCATTCTAATACTAATAAAACATCGAAGAAATTCTTGCAAAGCAACTCTGCCACTCCAGACCTTAGAAAAGAATTAAGCTTCGCAAGGAGAAAAACTAAGCTCACAATGAAGGATAATATAAAACTTAATTACCATCAGCAGGTTCAGTTGACAATAGGTTCGCAATATGTGCAACTGAAGCATCTAACCCTTCAAGATCATCAGGACCGTCATCAGAAAGTTCTCCCACATCAAACCCTGGAATAACATACAACGGTCCTTTAATGACAGTTATGAAAGTTAACATGTCGATACATTTGGGGTTCATTCTTACATGCAGTGCAAGGAAATCCACCAAGTATAGCTACAGGACGAGTTGGCGCTGTTGGACATATCCATTTGATCTGCAAGGTTATAAAATTTCATAAACAATGATTTAGGGTAAAGAAGGATATGTATAATTTAGATAGAGTTATATAAATGTAACCATAAAGAGCAAAATTTAAGGAGTTATGAGCTCACTGCTTACATTGGGAAGGGGTAGGCTTTCCAAAAGTTGGGACCAACTGCAGAAAGCAAAAATCAATCAGCTAATGGATTCAGAATATCTCAGGGTGAAAAAACATAACATATAAAATAAGAGAAACATGAAAGGTCCTGCATCAATGAAGAAGCTTTGATATATATGTTCCATTTGCTCAACTGAGTTTCAGGATATGAACGATCGATTAAACTTTCTTACTTAATATGTTGAATATCCACCATATATGACCACGTTAATGAAGTAGTTGCTCCGAAAAGTAAACGAAAAGATAACACATTATTACGTTGAGTCTCATAATAAGAACAGTCGATTAAACATGAACACCTTATTATCCAGTCACTGTTGAGTCTCATTCCAGGAAGGAGAAAGAAAAAAGACAACACAAAAACAAAAATAATAACAAGCTCCCTTATAGAGGATATCAAAGATTTGATACGGGGAACTAGATACGAAGACAACAGTATGCAAAAATCTTTCTTTTTCTCCATACTAACAGAATAATGTATCTCGCCCACAAAGTACTAATATCAATGTTGTCTGTGTGATTTATGATTATAAATTCAAAATTGCTTAAAGTGACACTAAAAATTTGGAGAATCGGAAAAGCACAAAGGTTGCAACAATAGCTCGGATTATGCGTATTCTGATTACTGATGGCTTATCAATGTTAAACTGCTTTTTATGTCAAACTACAGAAACAAAAGCTGGCATATCTAAGCACAAGAAATTAACAATTCAATAAATGTTAACCATAGAGTTCTGGATTAAAAGGAAAATGGAATTTACCTGGAGCCATTATCACCAAGGCCATGCAGCCAGACTATTGTAGCCTGGTGTTTTCCCTTGGGCCTCACTACATATGTCCTCCCAAATTCAAATGTCATTCTAGAAGTTCTACTTCCTGCAATGTTGTTTCACTAAGTTATTACTCCACTAGCAAATGCTTCAAGTAAGAAAGAGATTTAGCAAATACTAACAGAAATTGTAGCTATTGCAATGTCAAATTGGCTCTACTGAATCTATTGCCATAAGCACATAGGCTACAACAACAATTACTACTAGCCAGAGGCGGAGCTAAAAGTTAAAGTTCGTGGGTTCAAGATTCTACTTCTTTTATGTTACTGGGTTCAAAGTTACCGATTTATACATATTCAATGAATTTTTAAGACAAATACATAGTTCGGACCAAAGTTACTGGGTTCGGCCGAACCAGCAACCCCTATGCTACTAGCTACTACTACAACAACAAAGTGGGGTCGACTATATGAATCCTCAATGTCCATATCGCTCCATTTATAACATTTGAATAAGTACATAAGCTAATTATAACATTTTCAAAGAATGGGGGAACCACCCTCAATGATAAAACTAGGTGGATATCAAGATCAAGAATCAAAAAGAAATGAAAAGCTTGTACATTGCAACTAACCAGAGCCAGTTGAAGGGTTTAAATAACTCATGATATCTGAAATGCAACTTTAGCACACACCCCCAACCCAAAGACCAGCTTCACCAGTGAAGTGAGAAATGGTACTGCAATGAAGACAAGCCAAGCCAGTAATCCCTATTTATACCCAAAAGAGTAGGTCCAAAATAGAATAAGGCATGTGAATATGCAGAAAATAGAAAAAAACTTAACTATGTGTGAACCAGCTACACATTGTGCCTAGAAACTGATAAAGAAATAAAGGGCATCCATGAAAAGGAGTGGCAAAAGGCAAAGGAAAAAGCAAGCAATCTTTTGAACAGAGGAAAAGAGAAAGAATCAAAACAGAGCACAAAAATTTATCCGTCCATTTTTTCCCCTCAAGTCAAGAAGCAGAGAGCTATACAATTGCAGCGTTTAAAGAGAATCTATACCTGTTTGGGCACGGCCTTAAATAAAGCAACCCACAGCTAAGAATATTACTGAAAACAAGAAAGAATAACACTACTACCAATTTGGTATTAAAAAAAAATATCTATCAATCATTTATTTATGTATTATTGTTGATTGATGGATGCCCATTAACTTAAAAAAGTGAAATTTTAATTTTCCAATTTATCATCATTGTGAAATTGTTATGTCTCCAACAATAATAGGAATAATCAAGCACTTGAAGAAGCTAGCACAAATCCCATATTGCTATTTTCACCAGCTATAAATACATATATATACTCGGGTGGTCAATTAAACATCATACGTCCTAAAATTATATTGTATATAGGGTAAAAATATTACGTGTTATTGATTAAAATATAAACTTTGGACACCCTTGTATAACTCCCTAGCAAAGGGTGTTTAAATTTTGAATATTCTTATTGATTTCTTTGATTTCGCCACTATATATACTGCGATTGTCTCGTATTATATGCAAAAGCAGATTTAGAATTTAAACTTTATGTATGAAATGTTTAATATTTAATATATTTAGTAAAAATTTTATGTTATATATATAACATAAATTTTTTACTAAATATATTAAATATTAAACATTTCATATATATATAAGGTTGGACAAAGCTACTAAATTTGGTTGAACTCCTACCTTATCTGGTACATCCGCCCCATTTATATATAATTCAAAATGTTAATTTTTATATGTAGACACACATATACATTTTAGAAATAGTAAAACAACAACAATAATAATAATAATGTTAAAGTTTTTGGGACGTTCAAAAAATTCTTTTACCGTATGATATAGTAATAAATTAGGGTGTAGAGATACGGGTATAGATATGGCCACCAACCTGGAAATGTTGGGACAACATTTGAGAAAAGTAAATGAACTTTTTATCTTCAAAAAAAGCGTTCTGGATTTGCCACCTATAATTATTAGTGGCTCTAAGTCCTTTTCTACTCCTAAGAGTCTAAAAGTTCATCATTAAGTTTTTCGTTCGTTTTGTACCAATTCATAAATAGAGGCGGAGCCAAAATTTAAACCAAAATTACTGAATTCGATCGAACCCGTATATTCTACACTCTCTCCGCCCCTGTCCATAAGGGACTCCCCATAACCACAAAGTTGAACCTTTCATAAGTTCATTGCATGACCGAATTTCTCATCTGTCTTCACTCTACCTCTGCTTCTTAGTATTGGTGAACACAACATTTCATTTGAGTTTAAATTCAAACAAAAAAGTAACAATTTGAAGGTCTTAAGTTCAAATTGCAGCTGACGGGCCCAGGATTTGAAGGTGGCGAAGGTACGTAAGCGGAATATTCAAACAATGCCCCCATCGAACTTTTGATCGTAAAGGTTTCAACACAACAACAACAACCCCAGCATGATCCCAACAGGTGGGGTCTGGGGAGGGTAGTCTGTACGCAGACCTTACCCCTACCTAATGCAGGTAGAGATGTTGTTTTCAATAGACCCTCGGCTCAGGAAGGCAAGAAAAAGAAAAGGAAAGCAAGAAAGGAGAAAAAAGAAGGAAGCGAAAAAAAAAAGGGAGAGATAAAGGCTAAGTAGTGCCAAATAATAACGAGAATACAATACTTACGACGAACAAAACCACATAACGTGATAAAAATCTAAGAATATGAGAGGACATGCATGCTACTAAGGCTATCGAGGAACAACTAAAAACTACCCACTAACCTTCTACCTTAATCCTAAACCTCCACACCCTCCTATCAAGGGTCATGTCCTCAGTGAGCTGAAGCAGCGCTATGTCCTGTCTAATCACCTGTCCCCATTACTTCTTAGGCCTACCTCGACCTCTTCTAAAACTCTCCATGGCCAACCTCTCGCACCTCCTGACAGGAGCATCAATGCTTCTTCTCTTAACATGTCTGAACCATCTCAGCCTCTACTTCCGCATCTTGTCCTCCATGGAGGCTACTCCCACTCTATCCCGGATAGCTTCATTCTTAATCCTATCTCTCCTGGTACACCCGCACATCCATCTCAACATTCTCATCTCTGCTACTTTCATCTTCTGCACGTGGGAGTTCTGACTGGCCAACACTCAGCCCTATACAGCATAACCGGTCGAATCACCACTCGATAAAACTTACACTTAAGTCTTGGCGATACATTCTTATCACATAAAAAGGTTTCAAGTAAAATATATAACCATTTTCAATATATATATGTTCGAAGTACTTTTGTCGACATTAACAGAATTCGATGACTCCTCTAATATATACATAGGTCCGCCTCTGACTATAGTGATAACCCATCTTCTTGAGCATTTCCTAAAACACATATTTATGGGTTGTAGTAAGTTATGTTATAGATTAGTCAAGGTGTCGGTTAGCTAACATGAACACCGTTGTCGTAAAAAAGGAAAAAAGAAATACTCCTAGAACCTTTACATTCTCTTCTATTTAAATATCTCATCCATTTTTCTTCAACACTGTACTATTCCTTTGTTTATGAAATGAATCATCAAAATTTTATTATATAGGTAAGACTGACACATCCAATATGTAAATCAACTTAATTACTTGAAATTTTATTATTGAAAGATATTATTTTAAAAAATTTGTTTTGTTCAAATGCTGTAATATATAGGAGATGGATTCCTCGGCCCATTATGCGCGCCGCTTAGTCTTGTCCCCTGGGCCCATTATGATGGAATCGTGGACTTATGTTAGGGAATCCTTACTTTAAGTTGGACGAGAAAATACAAAAGTCATATCCCACTAAAACTCTATGAAGTTCAACTTCTCTACACAAATAATGAAATAAGGTGGAGAAACTTTCACAAACCACTATGTTTTAGTGGTTATTAGCTAGTTGTAGCTATCATTTACTATATTACTTCTTATAGCTATATTTTCAGATTTTTTAGAGTGTATTCGATGTATTTAAGCTACTGTATTCATGAATACAGTAGCATTTCTAGGCGTGAAACAGGGGATTACAGCTAGACAGATTTTTATATTCGAGTGTATTCGACTGTATTCATGACGTGAAACATGGGATTAAAGCTGGACAGATTATTGTATTCGACTGTATTCACGGCGTGAAACAGGGGATTACATTGTTTTTAAACGGAAAGTGAATCAATTAACATAATAGACTCCTAATATAACTCAACAAACTCAATTATAACACACAAATTTTGTATTTTCAGTTATAAAAAAGATTCTCAACCGAAAAATACCTCAAAAATATAGCAATCTTCAGAGAAATTATATAATATATCTGAATACATAAATTATATTAATTAAATAAAACATATGAATACATTCATGGAATATAGCGAGACGGTGAATATAATGAAATACATAGAATACATCGGGATACATTGAAATACAATGAAAAAAAGACAATGAATACAATGAAATATAGCGAGATACATTGAAATATATTAACAAAAAATACAAGTTCCATTACAACGAGAAAATATATGTCAAAATATTTCCTTCTTCCATTGCTTTTTCAAGAGCAATTGTCTGTAAATGGCGACAGTTTCACTGTCTTTTGTTTGGCTGTGTCGACTTTGTGTACTCTTTTAGCAAATAAGAATATTAGACCTGAGGGAGAAATATCACGACTTCTTTTCCTTCTCCAGCGAGATTGAAATTCGACTGTGAATGAGATTGGGAGGCTGAGGGCGGCGGTACGATGGAGAATAGATGTGGGGTAGGAGATAGAAGAAATTTGAGGGGATATGAGAGAGAAAAATAATACAAAGTTTATTTTATGACTTAAGGGTAGGAGGTAACTATAAATAGATATTTGACTATAAAAAATCAAAAGATAACTATGGAATATAATATTTTAAAAGGATATTTATTTAAAATAAATTAGGTATCAACCTTTGCTATAGGAGGTAACTAATTCTTCAAGAGAAACTTTCAGAAACCACTATGGTTTAGTGGTTATTAGCTAGTTGTAGCTATCATTTACTATATTACTTCCTATAGCTATTTTTCAAATTTTTTAGAGTGTATTCGATGTATTTAAGCTACTATATTCATGAATACAATCGCATTTCTAGTCGTGAAACAGGGGATTGCAGCTAGACAAATTTTTATATTCGACTGTATTCATGACGTGAAACATGGGATTAAAGCTGGATAGATTATTGTATTCGACTGTATTCACGGCGTGAAACAAGGGATTACACTGTTTATAAACGGAAAGTGAATCAATTAACATAATAGACTCCTAATATAACTCAACAAACTTAATTATAACACACAAAATTTGTATTTTCAGTTATAAAAAAGATTCTCAACAGAAAAATACCTAAAAAACGTAGCAATCTTCAGAGAAATTATATAATACATCTGAATACATAAATTATATTAATTAAATAAAACATATGAATACATTCATGGAATATAGCGAGACGGTGAATATAATAAAATATATAGAATACAACGGGATACACTGAAATACAATGAAAAAAAGACAATGAATACAATGAAATACAGCGAGATACATTGAAATATATTAACAGAAAATACAAGTTCCATTACAACGAGAAAATATGTGTCAAAATCTTTCCTTCTTCCATTGCTTCTTCAAGAGCAATTATCTGTAAATGGCGATAATTTCACTGTCTTTTGTTTGGCTGTGTCGACTTTGTGTACTCTTTTAGCAAATAAGAATACTAGACCCGAGGGAGAAATATCACGACTTCTTCTCCTTCTCCAGCGAGATTGAAATTCGACTCTGAATGAGATTGGGAGGCTGAGGGCGGCGGTATGAGGGAGAATAGATATGGGGTAGGAGATAGAAGAAATTTGAGGGGATATGAGAGAGAAAAATAATACAAAAGTTTATTTTATGGCTTAAGGGTATGAGGTAACCATAAATAGATATTTGACTATAAAAAATCAAAAGGTAACTATGGAATATAATTTTTTAAAAGGATATTTATTGAAAATAAATTAGGTATCAACCTTTGCT